TAAGATTATTTTAATTTTTTTTCATTGTATTTTATTAAAATAATATAGTTTTGAAATAATTTTTTACTTAATTTTTTGTAGTATAGGCTGATATTCATTAATCTCTTAAGATATATAATTAAATAAGTAGATATATATTATTAAATAATAATATAGTTATACTGTTATATAAAATTATAAATTTACAATCATGATATATAACAAAACAATTTTTTTTTGAATTTTTTTGTTATGGGGCGAGTTCGAAACCTGCTCAAAGAATGAGGATATGCACTTTTTTCAATGGCACTAATCATTGGGTCATAAGAACCAAGTGCTATAACAAAATAATTTTATCTAAGGGCATATAATAATGAGTAATTATTGAGTAACAAATACTATTTTTTAACTTAAAAAAGAAAGAGATGACTTCTATTTTAATTGTAAACATTACATGTTAATTTTAAGTTGGTCTATTTTAAATTAAAAATTAGAATTTGTCTTTTTAATTTAAAATTGAATTCTTTTAGCATAGATTAAAAGTGCATTTATTATATTTATTCACCATTAATTTAAATGAAAAAATAAAAGTTGATTTTAATTTTATTAACTGTTTCATTATATTGTTTTACTTGATATTAGTGTTATAATTAATCATTATTAAATAATTACTCCTTAATTATGTTCTACCCTTTAGGCACAATTACATGAGAAAGAAATATAAGCTAATAAAAATTATAATTAGATTCCTAAGTAAAAAGAAAAAATTAAATATAAAATATCAGAGAAAATAAAAAATAAAATATCTTAATATTAAAAATGTTAAGATATTCAATAATAATTATATGATATGTAAAATATGACATGAACCTTAATTTATTAAATTTATCATATAATTATTATTAAATATTCTAACACTGTTAATACAGAAATATCTTTATTTTGATTTCCTCAATAAGATTTCCTCAATAACATATTATGAAGGTTATAAATTTTCAATGCGATCGTCACATTATAACTGCTGCTAGCTAAATTTTCAATGCCTCTCGAAAACGATCATACCCGTCCCAGTGAAAGTAGGCCCCATTCTTCCTTGACCAAGGCGAGTTGCGTAAAGGGACTTTGCTTCACTTCAACGCCGTCACAAAATGACAAAATCACAGCATTAGATAACAATTAATAACAAATTTACAATTGAATATTTAATATAGTATAAAAAGAAAAAAAGGTTTACATTTCTGTTTCTTTAAAAATAAATTAAAAGTATAATAAATATATTTTTTAATTAATTTATATAATAATTAATTTTTATTTTAAT